AATGAAGAGTAGCCCCCGCGCGCGGCAACTAGAGAAAGCCCATGCGCAGCAACGAAGACCCAACGCAGCCAAATATAAATAAAAAAATAAATAAAATTTATTAAAAAAACACACATGCCATGCTTCAGTATTCATGTGAGGACATTAGTTTAAAAAGAATACTACGCCTTTTCCTTTAAAACAAATTTTATGGCATGAGTACCTATTGAAAACTAACATTCTATATGAGCTTTTCAACACGGCATTAAAAAGATAGTTCATGTTTACGCTATTTATCTAAGCTTTCATATAACAATTGAAGTTTCTCACACTTAAAAAAAAAAAGTCCAGAAGTTTGAGAGTAAGTGAAGCAAGCAATAACTAATATATAAAATAATTTAACCTATCTATTTGTATCTCAGAGGTACCTAACCATTGGCATAATAAAATTTCCATCACTGTAACACTTAAATTCCATTAAACATCAGTAGGTCCAGATAACCTTAAAGACATTTCTGTTTAAGAAGACAGAAGGTACTGTCATTTCATTTTTAATCATCATAGCAGATTAAAAATGAAACATAATTCCCGGTGATCATGTTACTAATGTAGATCAATACCAAGTTTTTTCAAGCTACATTTTCACTGCAGAAATGTAAAGTTAGGGGGAGTACCTAAATTCAATATCTAAGCTGAGTGACTGAGCACTCATTTCCCACCCACCCCAATTTTTGTTTTAAGTAGTAGTCAATCATCACATTGACTCATCCCATGGATGATATGGTGTCCCAGAAGGAGCTACCCTGGAAGGCAGAAGACTGGATTCTGCTACTGGCCAACAGTAACAATTTAGGCCAGACCCCTTCAATTCAGTGACCCTCAGTTTATTCACCAGTAAAACAAGTAAGACTAGATAATCTACATGACTCTACATTCTGTAACTCTATAAATTATGAGCATTTTATTTTAACCAATTTAGATTTGTCTTTGAGATTATTAAATAAAAGTAACAGCAGCACACATGGAAGAATCAAACTGAAGCGCTCCCCAGGAACATTCTTATGTCTTTGTATAGTCTCATTTTCACATGCAAAGAGGAGCGCCTCCCCCCCCAAAAAAAATATGTATCTGAAAACAATCCAAGTAATATCCAAGTAATATTTTTACCACACAAGCTTACAAGCTTCTGGGGTAGAAAAAAATGGTAGAACAGTAAAAATGTTCATGGAAAACCACCACCACAATAATACCAAAATAAAAAACAGATGCTCTACATACAGTTATCACTACATGACAGAAGCTTTCATAGCTTTTCAATACTCCTAAGGAGTCCTGATAGAAAACCAATGTTTTCTTTTTTTTTTAGGGGTATCTAACACAAGATTTGATACTCTTTATTAAATTGCTATTTATTAAGATAGAATTCTCAAACTTTTTTGAGCAGCAATACTGGCATGGCTTCAAACCAGGTGCACTGAGAAACTCAAAGAAATGTGAGACCTTTGCTCTTCAGAGATCCTCAATTTAGTTGGGGGAAAATAGGCCATAAATACCAGGGAAATTAAACAGCCATAAAATAAAAATACTAAATCAATAAGACAATTAAAGGGACAGGGCAGCATGACAGGAGACGCCAAGTCACCCCGAGCTGGACTGATCAGGAGAAGAAGCTGGGCTTAAAGTCAGAGGAGGCTGGAATGGGCAGCTCTAGACCTGACTGTCAAGGAGTATGAGGCTGTGGGGATGCATGGCTCCTAGGAGGAAACATAATAATAATATTCTATCTAAATGTACTTTTGCAACATTAAACCTGAAAAGGACAAAGTATCAATCTACAGACTGAGTTCTTTGTGCATGTAACTGATCTGGTCAACTTTATACTTTTATAGAATTTAGTAACATGCTGTAAACATAAGGCATGCCACACTGGTTGAACAAGTGAATGAACTACACACCAACAGATAAGTCCAGACATAATAAACCCTGACAACCTTTGTACCATACTCCAGTAAAATCCAGTCTCTGAAGTAAATGAACACAAGGAAGTAACTAAGTATTTGAGATCTCTACCATTCTCAGGCATCAGTTAAGAATTTGAAATTGCAATTAAGACAGGTCACAAAAAAAAAAAAAAAAAGAGACAGGTCACAAAATACAGTTAAAACTGAACAAAAGAAAAAAAAACTGAACAACAAAACAAACACAAAAAACCTGAGAAACAAACAGCCTGACATTTACCTACATCAATCCCTGGCATATTGAAAGGCCTCTGCTTTTCTCCTGCAGATAACAATGGCAAGACAATCTCCCACTTCACAAAATTTACAAAAAAAAAAAAAAAAAAAAAAGCTTAAAAATAGCTTGATTAATACAAATATGCTTGGCCTTGGGACAAATTTTACTCAAATTCAAAGAAAGTTAATTTTGAGCATTCTGTGTTTTAAAAAATTATGTGGGCAGGGCAAATTCTTAAGTTTTACTACATGATTAAATCCAACAAGACACCCAGTTAAAAATATTTATTCCTGGGCTTCCCTGGTGGCATGGTGGTTAAAAATCTGCCTGCCAACGCAGGCGACACGGGTTCGAGCCCTGATCCAGGAAGATCCCACATGCCGCGGCGGAGCAACTAAGCCCGTGCGCCACAACTACTGAGCCTGCGCTCTAGAGCCCGCAAGCCACAGCTACTGAGCCTGTGAGCCACAACTACTGAAGCCCGTGCGCCTAGAGCCCGTGCTCCACAACAAGAGAAGCCACCACCATGAGAAGCCCGCTCACCGCAACGAAGAATAGCCCCCGCGGCCTTCCCTGGCGGCGCAGTGGTTGAGCGTCCGCCTGCCGATGCAGGGGACACGGGTTCGTGCCCCGGTCAAGGAAGATCCCACATGCCGCGGAACGGCTGGGCCCGTGAGCCATGGCCGCTGAGCCTGCGCGTACCGCAACGAAAAAAAAAGAAAAAATAGTAGCCCTGGCTCGCCGCAGCTAAAGAAAGCCCGGCGCGCAGCAACAAAGACCCAACCAATGCAGCCAAAAATAAATAAGTAAATAAATTTATTTTTAAAAAAATTTATTCCTCATAGATCATGGAGAAAATCACACCTATATAAATATGTCACAGCAGGTTAGCAGATGTATTTGGTCAGCTGTAATGTGAACACATTTCCCTAATTAGAATACAATGTTTATTCGTTCAATAAACATTTGCAGTGTCAATATCCTAGGCAGTGCCTTCAAGATAAAGTCAGAGAAGGGCCCATCCTGCTCCTCAATAGGAGATAAAACAGGTACGTACCTAAATACAAGGTAGAAAGTGTAAATGCCATGAGAGGAGATGTGTAGTTAAAGCATTTCAGGAGAGAAGAGGGAGCTGTTACTCTGGGACAGAAATATAACCTTTACGATCTCTGTAGAGCAATTTCATAACAGCTCTTTTAGGCTCATAACAGCAACTTAGGAGAGATGTTTTCCTGCTATCATAGATGAGGAAACAAGCAGAAAAAGACTGATCATGTTCCAAAATGACACAGTTAAAGGAGGAATCAGGACTCTTTGTATTGTATTTTCTCTGGGGTAGGAGTCCAACATATGGCAAGCCTTTTGTAAAAGGAAAGAGTATTTTGGTACTGCAAGCAATCACATCCTTATGTATGTGTGTGCATATTATTTATATACATGTGTGTGTTAACCTTGATTTCCATTAACAGGTGTGCTTAGAGCAAGGCAAAGCAACTGTGTACTATAAATATTAAAATACATAAATAAACCTCCACTGGATTTTAACAGAATGAGAAAATAAAGACAATGTTTCTTTCTGCAACAACTTGCTCATTTCTTCTGTAATCTTCACCCATGTCTAAAAATATTCTAAAATTGGTCTGCTCCTGAGGTCGGGCAAGTTAGTTCTGCCAATAAATATCTTTACGAAAGGATACATCAAAACATTTTCAAAAACTATTAAAAATTAAATAATGCCATCAACTCTTCAGTTATCCAAGAGAAAGTCACATGTGACCTATCAGCAGCAGTTATTGATCACGACATGTTGAACGAATGAATGAATATTTGTAGGCATTTTAAAATCCCAGGCCTGTTGCTCTTTACGCAACGTTCCGCCTCGAGTCACCGCCTCACCAAGGTGCACGCAAGGAATGTAAATTTCAGTACAATTAGGATATACTTAGGGAAGCAAATCTGATGCAGGTGAAAACACTAATCCCACAGATTAGAATCACCCACACCTCTGCTCTCCAAGGGAAACTCTGGAGAAGCGGCACTGTAGCATGCAACATCGGTAAAAGAAAACTGACGCTCTGAGCAAACACTTTTCACAAATATCACCTATTCCCACCCACACCTTTAATACACGACTATACCTAATCCGGCTAATTCGAAGAATTCAGTCTCCTCGTCACTAAGACTGACTTCTCAGTTACAGTTTCTCGAATCGCTCCTCCCCCCAAAAGAGAATTCACATTAAACAGCAACGATAAAAGGCAGAAGGTACCGGGTTCCGATCTCCACCGTCCCCCCCCCCCTCCCTTCGCCATTACACCCCAAGTGGTTTGGTCGCAAAGGTGAACTAGTTTGCTCTTCAAGCACTTGTCCACCGCTGTCACCCGCCCTGACCCCTTGCACACTCCCGGGCAGCCACCAACTCCGCCCCAGAGGGAGAGCAGGCCGCCACCTGCGCCGGCCCCACCCGCGGCCCCGGCCCGCGCCCGCCTCGGGCCCCGCAGCCCGCTCCCCGCAGGACACCCTGGGCGCCCCGGCCCGGCCGCAACCCATTCTTCCTCCAAACTCCATAAGCCTCCCCCGCTCGCCCGGCCCCGCTCCCCGCCGCGCCCGGCTCGCCCCGGCCGCCGAGGGCAAGAGGCCGGCGGCTGGGCGGGTCCCGAGCCGCCGGGCCCGCGACGCCCCTCGCCGGCCGGAAAGCCTCCCCCGCGGCTGGTGCCCCGGAGCCCTCGGCGGCCCCGGGCTAGCGGGGGCCCGGAGGCCGGACTGCGGGCGTCGGGCCTACTCACCGGGAGCGGACGAAGCGCGGCGGCCGACGCGGCCCCGGGCCTGAGGAGCAGGACGCGGCCTCGCGCGCGGCCCTGCCCGGGCCCTGGTCGGCGCGGCGAGCCGGGCGCTCACTCCAGCCGCCGCCGCCGCCGCCGCTGCTGCTTCGCCACCTCGGCCGCCATTTTGATTCAACCCCTCTCCTCCGCCCCCCCACCCCCCCGACCCGGCGACCGCGGCTGAGGCTGCTCCGGCTCCTCCTCCTTCCGGAGGCTAGGAGGCCGACTCCCTCCGCTGGCCGAGCTTCCCGGGCCCCTGGCGTACCCCCTTGGCCCGGCGGCGGACCCAGGGTGCTGCCGTCGCGCCCGGGACTCCCCGCGGGCGTGAGAAAGGGAAGGACGCGAGGCCGCGCCCCGGGCCTGAGAGCCCGGGCTGAGGGCGGGAGGGAAGCGGGGGCCCGGGGGGTGCGCGCGGCCACCCGCGCAGCTGCTTCCCGGGCTCAGGCTGCGTTCGCAGCGGGCCTGCCAGAAAGGCCGCGCGAGGCCGACCCGCCCGTGATGCCGGCCCTCCCTCCGGCCCCTCCGAGGAGCCCGGGCCCCCGCGCCCGCCAAGTGCGCTCTCGGCCTCACGCTCCCAGGGAACTGACCGGACGGGCCTCGCCACCGCATACTTTTCCTTTAGAGAAGGCGCCACTCCACATCCCGGAATTAGGGAGGAGAAACAAAGTCGGTGTTCACCCGGATAATTACGAGAAAGTCCGGGTTTTAAGAAATGAGTGAGAAAATGGTGACGTAAAAACAGGAGGAACTCGCACTGAAGATGCTGGAGGTTCTTTTCAGACGCTTCCCCTTAAGTACTGTGCGGACGGCAAGGGGGTTGGCTCAGCCCTGAAACGGAGCGTGCACGAGAGCTCGTAAAGGCCGCTTAAAGTAGCGGCAGCCCGTGAAGAGGGGCTGGGAGGCGTCCGTGTCAGAGCACACAGCCCGACGCTTAAAGCCTCCGGCCGTTGGAGCAGGGCAACCGGACGTATTTCCACTCGGAACGCGGTTTCCGCGAGCGCCGGTCTCCCGCCGGAGCCGGCCCGGCGGCCGCCTCCCCTCCTGCGCAGGCGCAGTGCCTCCTCAGGGCATGGAGGTGGTGGGTCTGCTGCTGTGTGTGGCGGCGGCGGTCCTGACATGGGGCTTCCTCTGGGTTTGGGACTCCTGGGAGCGAATGAAGAGTCCGGAGCAAGCTGGCCTGCCGGGAGGCGGAAGCCGGACTTTGTTGGTGACCGCGCACCCCGACGATGAAGCCATGTTCTTTGCTCCCACCGTTCTAGGCTTGGTCCGCATGCAGCACCAGGTGTCCCTGCTCTGCTTCTCCGCAGGTAGGAAGCTGTAGGCGGGGCGCGGGGAGCCGGGGCTGGGAAGGCATTTAGGCGCCAACCTGTCTCACTTGACTTCTTCCCGGAGGGGTCTCTGTCGGAGGGAACCAGGTGAATACACTGGAGGTCCTTTATCCGGGCGCTTCACCGAGAATCTGTGGCCCCAGCCTGAGGGCTGTAGGGCCGGCTTCCCAGGTGCGTTGGGAGGCGTGGGCAGCGTGCGAGCTCCGCTCTCCGCTAGCAGGATCCGGGAGCTCACATTTGCTTCCATTCAGTACCTACATCCGCGTTGGGAACTGCGACTGTGATCAGTATCCTGTGGAACCTTTTCATTTCCAGGAGGGCCAAGAATAACGACCAAACAGAATGTGGGCTGTGTCATTCCTGATCAACCCTTCAGTCCACTTTGTGCTAGAAAGATGCATGTATCAAATTGAAGAGAGAGTTCATTAGACTAGAAAATAATCTTATAGGTAATTTTAGAGTTCAACTCCACCCAGCTTTCACTGGGGCTTTTCAAAGAATTAAGTCCTTCTTTACCATACAGAAAAGAAGGAATGAGAAAACAAATTGACAATGATACTGGGTTATGGCGGTAATTGCACAGCTGTATAAATGGAATAATTGAAGTGTACATATATAATGGGTGAATTTTATGGTATGTAAAAATCATACCTCAATAAAGCTGTTTTTAACAAATGCCCAGTGACCTCTTTTCCCATTTGGTTGTTTCGTACCCGATCTTTTTCTATACAGATTTTTCTCAGTAAGCACATTTTATAAGACTATATTTTTCACCGAATATTACCTTTTCATTAATTTCTCAAATATTTATTAAAGATTTTTGTGCACTGCTTACTATTAAAATGGCCAAAATCCGGAACACTGACAACACCAAATGCTGGTGAGGATGTGGCACCAAGGTACTCTCATTCATTGTTGGTGGGAACGCAAAGTGGTTCAGCCACTTTGTAAGGCAGTTAGTTTGGTAGTCTCTTACAAACCTAAACATACTCTTACCAAACCATCCAGCAGTAGCCCTCCTTGGTATTTACCCAGAGGAACTGAAAACATGTTCACACAAAAACCTGCACACAGATGTTTATAGAAGCTTTATTCATAATTGACAAAACTTGGAAGCAACCAAGATGTCCTTCAGTAGGTGAGTGGATAAATAAACTGTGGTCCATCCAGACAATGGAATATTAGAGGCAAAAAGAAATGAGCTATCAAGCCATGAAAAGGAAGAATTTTAAATGCGTATTACTAAGTGATAGAAGCCAATCTGAAAAGGCTTTGTACTGTGTGATTCCAACTATGTGACAATCTGGAAAAGGCAAAACTATGGAGACAGTAAAAAGATCAGTGGGGATCAGGGGTTGGGATGAGAGGAAGGATGTATAGACAGAGCAGAGAGGATTCTTAGGGCAGTGAAAATACTCTGTATGGTAGAATATAATGGTGGGTGCATGTCATTATACAGTTGTCCAAACCCATAGAATGTACAAGACCAGGAGTGAACCCTAATGTAAACCATGGACTTGGGGTGATTATTATGTGTCAGTGTAGGTTCATCGATTGTAACAAGTGTACCATCTAGTGGGAGATGCTGATAATGGGGGAGGCTGTACATGTGTGAGGGCAGGGAGTATATGGAAACTCTCTGTACCTTACCCTCAATTTTGCTGTGAACCTAAAACTGCTCTTTTAAAAAAAGTCTTCATAAAAAAAGTTTTTAATTAAGAAAAAGTCTATCTGCCAGGACTTATTCTCTGCCCTAGGAATAAAACTGAAAACAAGCTAGGTGAGGACCATGTCCTTCTGAAACTTATATTTTAAATATTTACCTATGTTTTAAGAACTAGATATATAGGCTTTTAAATGGTTTCATACAGATAAACCTTAATTTAGTTAGTCATCCCTTGTTATACATATATTTAGGGTTTTTTCCCCCCCAGGTTATCTCTATTACAAATAATCTCTTTATGTATAATATTTCTTGATTTGACTAACATTTTTTTCCTTCAAAATCTTTTGTTACCAGTAAGATTAAACCATTTTTCATAAATATTGAGAATTTCAATCTAAGCACTTTTCTTCTCAGTTTGTGCTATTAAGGATATTAACTGCAAATATATGCAAGTAATGGCCTCATTTTTTGTTTGCTTTTAATTTTATTTATGTTTCATATTACAACTATGGGAATCAAATTATAAGCAAAATTTGTTACAAGATGCCTGGATTTTATTTACAAAGTATTATAGGTACACAGGATTCTTTAATAAATTTCTCCTTATTTTTTAGTAGGTTGGGGCCAGAAATCAAAATTTTTTTAAGTAAAAAATATAACACCACGCCCTTGACACATACTAAAACTCAGTATCTTCATTGTTGTCTTTCATTATTTCCTCTGAATCCAACTTTCTGTTTAAATTGTTTTCTCTTGTAATTTTTTAAATTACTTTTAAAATACCCAACTCATTTAAAAAATGTACGGACTAAACATTACCCACCTTCCTGATTTATTCTAACCTGAAAAACAGGAAGTTAATAACGTGATATAACATAATGAAAGCTGTAATTGACAGAGAAAAAGACTGTGGACTCAAAATGGGGAAAAGCATCAATTGGATTAAGGAAACTTCTCCAAAGAGCTTTTCTTTTGAGCTAGTCTTTAAAAATAGGACTTAAGTATACAGGAAATGGGGCAAGCCATTCAGGGCAATAGTAAAAGCATAAGTAAGTCCTGGACTCATTTGAATAACTCATTCTAACTACATCTCCAGTTTTAAGGGGTAGGGAGAAGCAGGAAAAAATGTATTTTGTTATTAGTTGCTCATTTAATCCTCTCAGCAATCCTATGATAGGCATTACACGTATATATAATTTGTTTTTCTCATTTTTTAACTGTGGAAACTGAACCATGAGGTTAGGTAACTTGACCAAAGTGAAGAGCTAGAACACAGAGGAGCCAGGACCCAGTGGCTCTTTCCTGTTCTAAACCATTGCACCCACACACATTGCCTTGCTGCTGTATCAGTTAAGGAAGTAACCATTTTGATTCCCAGTGTATGTTCCACAAAATAGCAGTTCCTCAAGCTGCTATTAAAAAAAAAAAATGTTAATACCTTGACCTGACAAGTTTAGGGAAATTAACCGGACGTGCTATTCCCCCTTTAGAGGTGCACGGTCCTTATTAGACTATCAATATCTTGGAGAAGTCTCGCTATAAAAAATTCCTATTTAATTTTGTTCAGTCCAGCATTTCTCCGATTTATGTAACCATTGAAGTACCTATTAATATACACATGAGAGGAAGCCACAGTAGGTAGTAGGGTGTTGTAGAATGCATGTGCTGGAGAATTAACACAGCCAGTTCTGTGTTTTAGCAAGCTCATACTGGTGGCATATGGAGAACGTTTGGAGGGAAAGACTGGAGTCGGGAAAACCAGTTCAGGCCATCCTTTCCCCTCCTGACTGCACTGCCACCTCTCATATGTCAGAGCTCCGTGTATTTCTGATCTGTATACTGTCCCTTCAGTCAGTTTGACATCCCCGTGCCAATATCATGCTGTAGCTTTTACAACAATTAACTTCTGTAGCTTTTACAACACTGTATCTGGTAGGGCCAGCCCTCTGATCTGTTGTTCCTCAGGGTGTGTTTGCCATTTTTGACCTTCTTCCAAACATTTTATTTTTTTTTATAAATTTATTTTTATTTATTTATTTTTGGCTGCATTGGGTCTTCATTTTGCTGTGTGCGGGCTTTCTCCAATTGCGGTACGTGGGCTTCTCGTTCTGGTGGCTTCTCTTGTTGCGGAGCACGGGCTCTAGGCGCTCGGGCTTCAGTAGTGTGGCACGCAGCCTCAGTAGTTGTGGTGCCTGGGCTTAGTTTCTCTGCAGTATGTGCGATCTTCCCCGACCAGGGATCAAACCTGTGTCCCCTACATTGGCAGGAGAATTCTTTTTTTTTTTTTTGCCGTACGCGGGCCTCTCACTGTTATGGCCTCTCCCGTTGCGAAGCACAGGCTCCGGACGCGCAGGCTCAGCGGCCATGGCTCACGGGCCCAGCCGCTCCGCGGCATGTGGGATCCTCCCGGACCGGGGCACGAACCCGTGTCCCCTGCATCGGCAGGCGGACTCTCAACTACTGCGCCACCAGGGAAGCCCAGCAGGAGAATTCTTAACCACTGTGCCATCAGGGAAGTCCCCAGATACATTTTAGAACTAGTTTGGGCATGCCCAAGGAAAAACCTTGCTGGCGTTTTTATTGGAATTTCACTGACTCTGTTGATCAGTATTGGGAAAAATCGACAAGTTTACAATATGAAGCCTTTCTGTCTATGATTTTATGGTACGTCTCCTCATTTATATTGGCCTTTTTTAATGTCCTTTAGTAGATTTATAATAAAGGCCTTACATATATATTGAGATGATGAGTAATTTTGTCCATTCATCTGTTTCTCATATTCAGAGCTTCTTTTGCAAATATTACAGTCTCTTGTTACTTCCTCATAGTTTGACGTTTTTATTTCTTTAAATATATTAAACACATATCTACTTCTAATAATTCCAATTTCTGCAGTCTTTGTGTCTGCCTCTGCTCTTTGAGTAACTCATTCTGAGTGACTTGTTTCCCTGTGTGTTTTGTGATTTTTTTTTAATTGTAAGCACATGTTTCATGGAACCATACTTGTGATAATTTTTTTTTTTTTCTGGTAAAAATCATGTTTCCCTTTTAATTGACACCGTTTCCCCTCTCAGGTGCTACTTTGGTAATGATTAGGTCCCCACCTCTCAAGAACATTGCATCTGAACAGGCTGAGACAGAGCCAGTGTGAACACAGACCCCAAAGCAGGGCTTTTGGGATAACAAGAAGAGAAAAAAACAGCCTTTCTCTTCACTTACAGAGGGAGTCACGCAGAGGGTCCAAAGCTCTGTTTTCCAAACGTAGAAAACGTGGAGCTCAATGCAAACTAGAAACCAAAATATATCAGAAATG